AATAAATATTTTTATAGAAACAAGAAATTAAAGTTGTGTTTTGGAGACCGTGTCGCTGTCCTAAATGACTTCCTTTATGAGTATGGAGGGAGTACTCCACACGAGGAAGATGCCATGCACTCGGCGGTCGTGGGTGCTAGCCCCGATCCTCAGAGTCCTCTACTTGTTTTATTTTAGATAATGAATTTTCATTAATCCGGTCTCTATATCCATGAAGAATATACTCGGCCAAAAAAATAATAATACAAGTGCACTTAGACTCATACCTTAACAAGAGGAGAACACACAACTAAGAGAAAAAATTACAACCCTGGCAAACACATGTTTCCAGACATACTTTTATGAAACGGCCAAATTTGACGAGTGAAAGTCATCTAGACGCTGCTGCCTCTAGTGCATCTTCGTTGTGAACAGTTGGTACCATCTTCATCTGTTTCGGGTGAGCTGATGCCATGCGCCACCGGATAGCCCATCTTTATCTGTCGTCATCCAATCAGAACTAGCCTGACGAGACGCGAGTCGACGGGATACACTTTCGCTTTATTAGATTGCTAGGTCTCCGCTGCCCATAGGGCCGTCACTGTCGTAAGGATCCTCTTCTGCCTCCCAGACTCCCAGCCCGCCACCACCCCTAGGGCCGCCACCTCTGCTAGAGTCCACATATTTTTGTCGAAATCTCAGTCCTCCACCACTGTCGCTGAGGATAACCTCTTCCACCAGGAATCCCATGCCTCCGCCGCCCTTAGGGTTGCCACCGCTAATGGGATCCACCTCTGCCTCTTCCTCCCCAAGAACCTTGTGCCAACGCACAGGCCACCGCCACCGCCGCCAAGGAGATCCTTTCCGCCTGTCTTGGGGAGGTCCCCACTGCCTGTGGGACTACCTCCGCCTAAACCACCTTCTCCATGCCGAGGATTGGCCGTCAAAGCTCAGGCCGCTGCCGTCCTCCGCCACCCCTGCCATCGGTCGAAGGGGCGCCGCTGCCGACTCCTCGCTAGTCGCCGCTACCCGTCGCCCTCCCACCACTTCCGCTGTCGTCACCAACAACCACAGCCAAGCGTAGGCTTGGTCGCCTCCGCCGTCCATGCTCTCCTTCGCACCGCTCTAACCAAGCAGCAACGACCAGGACGAGAAGGCACATATCCAAGTGAGGGAACGCCAGATCTGGCCTCATCAGCTCGTGTCGCGCCTCGCCGACTGCCACAATGCCTGTATCTTTCAGAAGGAATTTTACCATCATTGATACCTCCTAGTACCTGCCAGTACACTATGTATCTGAACCATCCGTTTGATTTGATCTAACGGTTCATAAAGAACGGTACCAGGAGGTACTGCCTAGTGAGAAACGAAGGTTGGTTCAAGTACTAACTGTGAAAGGGCAGCTATGTAATTGGAGTAAGAACTTATCTCTCCCATCCCTCTCTGTTCTCTCTTCCCTACCGACCAAACAGCCCGTGGTGGCTCTCGTTGAGGTCATGGCCGATGGAAGGGGCCATCTATACGAGAAGAGGATGATGGTGTCCAAGTCGTCTGATGTTGCAAGGGGCTTCATGTCACCTCCCGCTAGAGATCCAAGTGCCATGATGTCCTCTTTATCTCTTCCACCTGATCCATCTCACCCGCCTGCAAATGGAGGCCAAGCAATAAGTTGCCCTAGTGAGCTCCCTTACATGCAACGAGCTACTACCCCCATAGTATCCACAGTTATCTGAATCCGAATGTAGCAACAACCATGCTAAAAAACGATGATTCGGCAGATATCTCTTTCTTGTAATAACGCTATAGTAGTCTCTTTTACTTGATATAATATAATCAGCTCTGTTGCGCAAAAAGGAATATGAGAATTTACCGCCTCCTTAAAATTTTTATAAATCTATTGTAAACCACATATCCAAAATCACATCCAAGATTGTAGTACCAAGCGATAACGACATAACATATATAGGCCACATAAATACATAATATAAGCAATAACATGAGTCACTAACATGTAGGCCCATTAAATATATGGTCCATATCGGCAGCTCAAAATTAGAGGTTCGCACTGTAGAAAATCTGTTCACGGACACGTGTCGAAAGTTAGAGGATTGTACCGTAGAAAATCCGTTTACGGACACGTGTCAAGTGTCGACCACAACATATGTACAGTCATCGTGCCATTGGTAGCAACGCTAGCAGCAGTCCTATGAACACGACATGGACCGGTAGCAAACCGAGCAAACGGTGTAGTACTACATATATGTCGTTCTCCCTGCCAAAAGCAACACGTAGTCACATTGCTGCAGTTGCCCTAATGCCGCGATCAGATGCAATGCAAACCAGCCCCCGAAAAAAAAAGTTACAAACCAAAGTATATCCCAGATAGGAGTACGTCGCAAGCTGAATGGACATTTACATTTCTGGGTAACATAGAATACAGATAGCTTAATCATCATGTTCGTTCGATGTCGCTGGACCCTGTTACTGAAAGCGGCCTCTTCCAAAAAAAAAAAAAAAGAACTTTCGATCGAAGCGTGCAGCTTCAATTGCTCATTTTGCTCGACGAGAAGAGAAAAAAAATGGAGATTGGAACGATGTATTATGAGTATCCGCGACCACGAGCGCTGCGACATGCTTCGAAATGGCCCCTTTGACATCGCGTGTGCAGGAGCCTTTTACGTGCAGATGGGGTTCACCAAGTGTGTAGTAATTAATTTCGGTACTGAATTCCGAATCCATAAGGAAGAATTTAAAGAAACTAACCCTCACAAGGAACAGCAATATAGTATTCAGATAGATTTTCCAGCAAGGAGCCAGCAGCAGCTCGTCAATTACAGGCTAAATTATGGCTTTATTATGCTGCATCTTTAACTAATTACCAAGTGCCTCTCTGTACTTTTGCTCTTCGTCATCGTCTAATAATGACCAACAGGAGCAGAAAAAAGGAGAGAAATATCCCATGCTCTGTAGATGATGCATATATAAACCTGAGAGATAATAATAAAGGAGTAGTTCTTCTTTTGCTCACAGCCACTCGCCTTCACTGCAGGTGATGCTATCGGCTATATCCCACTGTCACGGTTGCAAAAACTTTCCTGCGACGAAAACACGACCTTTTCCGGTTTAAAGATGCGAATTTTCTCGCTCAGATTGGTGATAATTTAACTTTCTCGTCGCAAAACGAGATTGTTAATTTGCGCGTGCAGTAGCATCAGTTTGAGCTGATTTGGCCGTAATTGCAGCCGAATTTTGGGCATATTTGTATCACATATTTTAGGACATACATGTTTGTGTGTGCAGTTCAGTTGCTGCTGTTTGGGCGATGGATTTGAGATGCTAAAAATGGGTTTAAGTTCGGGAGAAACACGACGAAGTGAGGGTGCCCAGGTAGAAAAGCTAGGGTGGTTTGGAACGCGGTCAACCTCATGTTTAGTGCTGTCCTCGCTAGCAGCCAATTCATATCCCGTGCAGTACAAAACTAAATTCACAATTCGAAATAATTCATCCTTGAATTCCATCATATCAGCGAGTGAAATTCATATTTAGCACCATGGCGATAGTCAGATGGCCAACCATAGGTTTCGTGAATTAAACCACAGCATATCATACGGGTGAGCTGATGGTACACCTGTATTGCCCTAATACCATCTTGCTGTATATCTGTTCATCGATCTTGATCCAAATATGATTTAACCAACTCGAATCTGCAGATCAAGATAAGGTTTATTTGGTTTTGAAAACGCCAAGAAATGAGTCTATCCATATGCGTGTCCAGTTCTTGGTCGCCCAGACCCACGATGAACCGAGACCATGCAGCTAACCGATCCTGGGTTCGGTAGACAAACAAGTTTCGAACAGGTTTGAGTTTTTTCTGAACTTGATGTCCATCTTTGACACGTTGGAAACATCGGTTTGATTTCATTTTGAAGCAAAAGTTTACAATTCGTTAGACGTTCTATGTGTTGGAATTCCAATTTGACCAGCTCATGCCAACACATAAGAGGAGTACTGCACCTTGTGCCTACTTTGACCTCTTCCTGCGCAAATCGATTCGTCAGGACAGTAACGAAATCTCTCAAAAAGTTCAAACCAACTCGTAATTCCATCACGAATCCGACGCAGAATTCAAACTGCGGTGAGAAACCGACGGATAAATATGAGCAAAATTTGGATACATGAAGAACAGGCAAACTCGTATCACCTGGTAGGCAGCTATGCTTTCCCCAACGGCAGCAACGAGCTTTTGATTACTCCCGTGCAGATTAATCCGGTTTCCGACGTGCTAATGCAAATGCAGCTGCAGGGTCGCCGCCGAGATGACCGGAGCCACCGGCGGAGGCCATTTCTCCGGCGAGACGGCCGGCGGCCGCGCCGCCGCGGGGGCCAAACCCGGGGCGAACTCGCACACCGGCGGCGAGAGTGCTCCGAGGGTGTGTCAGTTGCGCCGCGTTCAATCCGGCCGTAGACCATCGAAACGGCGGCGGATCGGCGAGGTTCCAGGCTCGCCGGATTCCCCTGCTAGCCTGCTACATCTTGACCCCGGCTAGCCGGGATGTTCGCCGGAGCACCACCGCTCGCCGGCCGGAAATCCCCTCCAAACTCACACAAATCCGCCGCCCAGACCAGTCCGGCTTTGCCGATCAATATCTCCCAGAATACCCAACCAAATCGAACAAATTTACACTCGTTTGAAAGCCATGCTCCGTGCCTACAATCTGGAAAAAAACCCATTCAAATTGGTCGATCCAATTCGGAGAAAATCGGGTGCAAATCCGGAGGAGAAGCACACTTCTGGATGGGTGGGGATGAGGCCGGGCGGCCAATCCAACTTGAGGGGGGCAGCAATCCGTGGCACGGGATGAGGGGTGCACACGACCGTTGGATGGGTTCGGATCGGGCGGCTGAGATTCAATGTGGGGCGCGTGGGGTGGCGATCCGTGGGGAGGCCGTTTCGGCCAATCAGAGCGCGGCGTTGGCGTCTCCCCGTCATCGCGAGGCATCCCACTATATAACCACCGATTCCTCCGCCCCGACCTCCTCACCCACCCACCGGCGAGCAGCTGCTCCGACAAGCGCTCTCTCTCTCTCTCAACTCCGGCGAGGCTCACGCGCGCTCCGAAGCTTCGGATAGCGGCAGTAGTCAGTGCATTGATGGCGACCGACGTGGCAGCGACTGAGCCCGAGGTGGCGGCGGAGGAGGCTGCGGCCGCCGCGCCTGAGACCACGGCCACCGCCGGGGATTCCAAGCCGGCGAAGGAGGCCAAGGCCAAGAAGGCCGCCGCGCCGAGGAAGGCACGCTCCACCGCCACCCACCCGCCGTACGCCGAGGTAAGCTTTGATTCGTTGCTGCTGTTTGCTGTGTGTTCTGTGGCTGGATCTGACGTGGTGGTTGGTCGGTGCTCGTGCAGATGATCTCGGAGGCGATCGCGACGCTGAAGGAGAGGACCGGGTCGAGCCAGTACGCGATCGGCAAGTTCCTCGAGGACAAGCACAAGGACCACCTGCCATCCAACTTCCGCAAGCAGCTGCTCGTCCAGATCAAGAAGCTCGTCGCCGCCGGCAAGCTGACCAAGGTCAAGAACTCCTACAAGTTGCCGCCGACGCGCGCGCCGGCCGCGGCCAAGCCCAAGGCGAAGCCCGCCGCCGCCGCAAAGCCGAAGCCGAAGCCGAAGGCCGCAGCTAAGCCCAAGGCGGCTGCCAAGCCGAAGGCCAAGGCTCCAGCCAAGTCCAAGGCCGCCGCGAAGCCTAAGGCGGCTGCCAAGCCAGCCGCGAAGCCGAAGGCGGCGGCTAAGCCCAAGTCTCCGGCTAAGCCAGCCGCCAAGCCCAAGGCTGCCCCCAAGGCTAAAGCCAAGCCGGCCGCGAAGCCGAAAGCCAAGGCGGCTCCCAAGCCGAAGGCGGCAGCCGTGACGAAGACGAAGGCGACCTCGGCTCCCGCCCGGAGGCCGGCGAAGGCGGCGAAGACGTCAGCCAAGGACACGCCCAGCAAGAAGGCGGCGCCGGCGGCCAAGAAGCCCGCCGCCGCGGCGAAGAAGGCGCCCGCCAAGAAGGCCGCGCCGGCGAAGAAGGCGGCCGCTCCGGCGAGGAAGGTGCCCGCCCGGAAGGCGAAGAAGTAGAGCTCTCTCTCCGGCGAGCGAGCAATCTAGGGCTTCATGGTTGTTTTCTTAGCTGTTTTTTTTTCTCTTCTCTTTGTTGTTAGTTGCGAGGAGGGGTCAGGGGTACTAGCTTGTAAATTTGATATCGCGGCGGGGGTACACTGGTCATTTCGTACCCAGGTGGTGGTGCGCGACGATGATGACGACGACGACGAGACAGTTTGTTTTTAGGGCAATGTATTTCTGAGTAGATTGGTGGAGTTTTTATTGTGGTAACAATCTTGTGATATTTGTCGAAATCACTTTAGCTAAGTAATTAATTATGCAGTAATTTTACTTACTGTATTGGCTTGACCACACCCTGTATTCCTCTGAATTTTCAGATCTGGAAATTGAAATGAAATATAGGATTTGTGACTTGGCGTGTGATTTGGGTTCAAAACAAGCATGTTATTGCACCGATCGTACGCTGTTCCAAATTTCAGGTCGCGTGTGGTACCGAACTATTGTTCACTTTATGAGCTGTAAAAAAATAAATTCGGTCTTAAATCTGGATGTATCTGTTGTCAAATTTGAATATTCAATCAATGCAAGTATCCAAACTGATATTAGGCCCCACTAATTTCGCTTATCCATTTGGTTTATGGGCCTTCCTAGTGTTATCGGGCTTTGAAACTTCAAAAGGCCCGGGCAAATTTGAAACTTCGAGAAGAGAGAGAGACGCTTGTGGGCTGGGCTGCCTGACAGGTAGCATACGTGGCCAGCCGTTTCGTTGGACACGTGGCAGTCTCGTCCTAACGGACACACGTGGATGCCATGGACGCCGCGGGAGGCCGCCTCGATTTTTGAAAAATTGTCCGGAAATGTAGGGGTCGGAAAGTAAGATTCGCTGTACATAACCGCCAGTGTCCAGTGACCTGGAACTATTTGGATGCGCGCTCCGTTTGGTTTGAATTTTTTTTTTTCACTTTTGACCCTCTTCCGGGCTTCTGCTACTTTCTCTGTCCTTTGCTTTCTCTCTTGCAAGTTGTGAAACTTGCAATTGCAATGCTGCTCTCTGTGACCTTCTCTGCTACTCTCTCCCGCTGTCTGGCTTGGCCTAGGAGGATCAACGGTGTGGCCTTTTGGCTGGCACACAGAAACTTGCTTGTTCCGTTAACCAAAACAAGCCGTTTGCGTGCGTGTTCGTTCAATCCCATGTTGGCATTCACAGGCTTGTTTGTTTCATAGCGATTTTTAGGCTATGCCTCCCGACACGGAAAACAAAACACACGATTGTAGCGAGATTAATTAAGTATTAGCCAAAAATACTTAAAAAATATATTAATATGATTTTTTTAAAGTAACTTTCATATAAAAAAACTTTTGCAAAAAATACACCGTCTAGCGGTTTGAAAAACGTATGCGCAGAAAACGCGGGAAGTGGGTTAGGAAAGATGGGATAATAACAGAGCCTTATACCTGTTTATTTTCGTTTTGTTTTTTTTTTTTGCAAATGGTAAGGATGTGGACTAGTAAGTGATATTTTTTTGGCATTTATTAATTATTTTTGCATGGTTAGATTTTTTTTCTCTCTCCCTACCACACTCCTGCCGTACCTGTATATTTCATGTGACTGCATCTTTCGTAGCAGTAACCTTTTTGTTATCTCATGCCAGTAGCCAGTGTATATCTACATGACTAATGAAAATATTGTAGGTGTAATGTGAATACTCAATGGCTGTAAGCAGGGTTTCATTTACCGCCGGGGCCGCGGTTACCGCGCCCCGGCGGTAAGCACGGTTACCGCACGGTAACCGCGGTAACCGTGACAAACCGCGACAAACCGTACAAAATTTATCAAAAATTCAAATTATTTTTCAAATTTATTTGAATTTGACGCGGTTACCGCGGTTTACCCCTTACCGTACCCCCGCGGTAAACGCGGTAACCGCGGTAACCGCGCGGTTTACCGCGGTAAATGCAACCCTGGCTGTAAGCCTGTAACGCCTAACGACCAAGGCAATCTAAATCTAAAGAAAAGGTTCAGAACAAATGGCCCAGTCCAGACCATCCATTGGCAAAGCCATCTTTACACATCATCTCCCAGCCCACCAAGCAACTGGCCCGTTAGGCCGTCACCTCTGTCCAGGCCTCCAACCCAACCACAGGCCTAGCAGTAGCCAGATCAGGTTTGTTTGACAGAACTTCAACTCTAAATTTAACTTGAAAAGCTGGTTTAGAGTGGAGTCGTGGAGCAGTTAAAACACAACTTCATTATTTTTGTGAGATCACTCTCTAGCTCCGCTTCCAATCAGTGATGCTGAAACTATTGGTTGAGCTAACTACAAGAGAGGTAGAGCTGAAGCTAGAGCTCTGCTAAATTGACCCTTTATTAATCCTAGTAGTCACTAGTCAACGGAAGAAAAATGCTTAGCCAATGGCTAATACTCCCTTAGTGACAGCACGTTACATATCGAAAGCACTTTTGGTATCCTTAATTTTGCGGCTAATTCGGTCGGCGTGAAAGGCCTACGGCGGCGCCTAATGCCAGACACACGTACGCGTGCTGACATATAGAGTACATGATAATTAAACTATTAATATGATATTAAACCACTCTTCGTTTGGAAATCTCAAATCCTGCTTTATGAGACTTCATCTGTAAGCTCTACAAGATGATCTCGAAACCTGATTTACTTGGAGAAAGATAAAGCGCTAATTGGATTTGGTATCAAGATATCATGATACAGATGCATTAGCTACCCTTTTGCTTACATGCATGAAGGGCTGCCTTTCGTGCTAATCAAAGAAGATACACCATCATCTAAGGTTTTTATTATCTCTCTTAAGATGATTATGTTAGACAACACTACTGTAGAAAAATCATTATATACTAATACTTCTATCACATACGTCTTTTAGTCAGTGACACATGCGACTAAAGTAAATTAGCTAGGCTTATATGTTAGTGACTTAAAGACTTAAAGTTATATAGTGACTTAAGTCAAAGGATTCTTGTCAGTTTTTTCTACTACTCTGTAATAATGTATCCTGATGGAGATTATTTTTGCAGCTCTCATTTTATAGCAGTGCAGGATTGAATCCTTTTGTTAATTAGTAGGCACTCACTGATCACTAATCGTCACTGCTATATGTGTACTACTAATGTAGGAGTACATCGGTTAGTTGTTGGTGATTAGAATTTAGAAGTAGAGCACTCTACCAAACACGTCGTGGACCCAACCAAACAGCGGCATTAAAATGCTTGATCACTCTGGAAAAACCGGCCAATCGAGAGGTGAGCTGCTGTGAGGCCAACGGTTGACCAGCCGAATTGTCAGGTAGAAGCATCCGATGTTAGAGCTAAGGGTGTGGTGTGACAGGTCGCCTCCACATTGTCTCCCCAGCTATGAGGTTTTGGATCTTCTATGCCAATTATTGCAAAGGTTCATTGTATCAGTGCTGCTATCACTCACCTAAATTTTATGTATTAGCCTTGACAGTATGTAGATAACATGTTGAATGGTAAATATGAGGGATCAAATTGACACTATATATTTGAATAGCATTCTGGGTGTGTTCGGCTGCAAGTTTCTAACAGCTGCTGAACTGCATGCGTGTATGCGGCTGCGGCGCACAGCCAAATTGCACTAGCCACAGCTGCAACTGCAGCCGAAAAATGGCTGCCGAACACACCCTCTATAGTTTGCTAGCCATGTCTCCTGCATTTAGACAATTAGCCGTATAACAAAATAACCAATTCATAAGAGCCGTATTTGTATGATAGAAATTTCTTGAATTCGCCTTTTGGTGACATCGAGTTCATCAAAAGAAATTCAACACAAACCAAACAAAATATCAGATCGAATAGGGTAGCTTCATTTTCTCGAAATGCAAAATACTATATTATATATGTATTAGCATAAATTAAAAATGTCCAACGATGAACATTTCTCTGCGATAAAAACATGTGAATGTTGCAGAGCATAACCTGTGCTTTTTTGCTGGCACAAAGAGGAGAGGAGCCCTTGATGCCAACGCCTCATTTAAGCAAAAGACAATCTTGATCCCGGACCAATCAAATCATCAAGCCAAGAAAAATGGTTGATGCTCAGCCTAACTTGTCAACTGGTTTTTCAGAGAGAGAACATGGATGGATAGTGGATTTCTTATTGATTGTTGATCCCACGTGAATAGATAGTAGAGGAAAGGTACCAAAGAGAAAGGTAGGTTTAAACACATCTGTGATGTGGTATTTCTTAGCGTTGGTAATCTAAAATAAGTGTAATTTTACACCGTTCATACCCAACGTTTGATTGTTCGTCTTATTTAATTTTTTTTTACGATTAGTATTTTTATTAGTATTAGATGATAAAACATGAATAGTAATATATGCGTGACTAATTTCTTTTAATTTTTTTTATAAATTTTTGAAATAAGACAGACGATCAAACATTGGACACGGATACCTACAGCTGCACTTATTTTAGAACGGAGGTAGCATGTACTCTAGAGTAGTACTATAATTTTTTGAGCTATAGTACTGTGGCTGTGTTTAGATCAAAGTTAACTTTGGATCCAAACTTCTAACTTTTTCTATCATATTAATATCTCATACACACAATTTTTTAGTCACGTCATACCAATTTCAACCAAAACTTCCAACTCTAGAAGCAACTAACCACAGCCTGTATTAGTTTTTCTTACATTTTTTCAGCTGATAAATTTTGATTTTGAACGGCACCGAACGCAGCAAATGGCATATGAATCTGTGACCGTGAGCTGGGTTCCACCACTTACACGTGGGCCCTCCCCCCTCGCCCACGCACACGGCACACCTGGGGACTCTGAAGAAACTCTCGGCCCCTACCCTCTCGCACGAGGGAGCCACGCACATTTTCACACTTCACTCTCTCTCTCTCTCTCTCTCTCGTGCGCCGCGCCGCGCCGCGCGGCGAGGGTGGTGGTGGGTGAGCGGCGAGCCGAGCCGGGCCACGGGCGGCGCCGCGGGAGGCGTCCCGGCGAGCGGAGGGGAGGGGGGCATCCGAGCGCTGGGGGAGGTAGCTCAGCGGGAACGGGAACGGGGCGATCCCCCCCGGCGTTCTCCTCCCCGGTCTCTCCTGTAGCTAGCTAGCTAGCCATGGCGGCGAATGGCGAGGGTGGCGGCGACCCGGCGGCGCGGAGGCGGTGGGATCTGACGAACAAGGGTGCCGAGAGCATGTAATGGCAGTGGCACCAGCTGCATTTCGGTTTGTTTGTTTATTATTTTTTTTTTTTTTTGGGGGGGGGGGGGGGTTTGGCTCGTGGTGTGGCGATGTTCATGGAGCAATGTTGGTGGCGGAGTTCATCTTCCAGCTGGGCTGCTGGATCTGCTCGATTTGTGCTTGGTTTATGCGAGTTTTTGGTGATTTCAGATGGGTTTTTTCCCCTTGGTCTACACGGGGCAGCTAGGGTTTCGTTACCTGGAGAAGATAGATTGGCCTTAGATACTGTTGTTGTTGTTGTTGTTGCTGGTATAAATCTCAATACGGTAGGGTGGGAGACGGATTTCTGTAAGAAATGAGCTTTTCCGGAGGCAAACGAAAGAGGGATTTCAATATTAACTAGTGGAATAAAAAAAAATTCCCTGTTGGGGAGGAAGGATGGGGTAGATTTATAGGCATATCATGCATTATTGTCAAGGTCATTGCAGTGAATTTATGTGTGAACTCGTATTTTAATGACTCAACCTTTCTTCTTCTTGAGCATGCTGAACCATTCAAGGATTACTGTGAGAAATTTCTGATGGATATGACTTTGAACTTTCCTGCCCAATTTCATATGTACTGTGTCACATCCCTGATACATTTTTAATTGCAGCTGCTGATTCTAAGATTTTGAGACATTGCCTGACTCTTAGTGGGCTTGCTGTTAGGATTGTGCTGGTTGACTTTGTGTGGAGATATCTTATGATCTGCTGATGCACAATTGTGATATGGCCATTTTTTATGCAAAGCTTTCGACTTTTGTTTAGATTCTTTGTTATCCGTATTAGCTATACTTTTATTTTTCCAGGGTAATTTAGTTTTAAGTGTTCAAATCGGAAGCACTGAGGCTGAGAGAAATGCTGACTAGTTTATGTACTTACATACCTAAAAAGCCTTCTGTGTATGTGCAATATTAGATAATCTGTGTGGGCATCAACTTTTGTACTATTTAGGTTACAAGCCTTATTTTTGCAGGAATGCACTAAATGCTCCTGTTCTGTAGTTATTGTTTCTGCATGACCTGAGTACTTTAGTGTTTCTATATATTGTGTAGTTGCTTGCATGCTATTTGTGGTGAATAACTTATGAGGTTGTACTTTTGTTATAATTGTGGTTAATGTACTTTAATCCTTGCAGTCCAATGGTGAAAGAGGCTGTGGAAATGTCCACAGACGAAGAATCAGACGGTGTCGTTATATGTCCACCAGATGGCAACAATGATGATCGAGAGGAAGCCATTAGTAGTAATAATCATGATAATTGCCAGGAAGGCGAAGTCACTTGTGTTAAAGACCCGGTTATAGACAGTGAAACCCAGGAAGACAAGTGTGTGAACCAAGATTCAGTTAAGTTGATAGATCAAGAGAAGTCTGGTCCACCCAAATCACCATCTAAACCTGGCATTTCTGGGTCAGATAGGTCCAAACGTACTGTTCCTCAACCATTTGCCCTTTCTTCTCAAAGAAAATCTCATGGAGGAAATAGTAAGGCGGCTCATCCATCTGGCAATGGAGAAAATTCTGGTGATAAGAGCAACTCCTCTCCAGCAAGTTTGACAAAGAAGGTATGACTATTGTCATATATACAGTATTATCCATATATCATGATGCTACCAATATCATTTGACTCTTGTTCTGGTTTTTATTATTGCTTACCATTTTATGTTTCTTTTTATTTTTTGTATTCTCACCCTAAATCATATCATGTATCTTAGTACTGCCTAGGTTGTCTCACTGAGTATATCATGTTCAAGGCTCTAAGCTGCCTTTAGATATCAAATTTATTAGATTGATGAGCCCCATTATATGTTGAAGGTTTGTTTTGCAAGTAAACATCGTAAGCTTGTTCTGTGAAGTGTGCCTAAACCTATTTGGTGGCATACCTGTCTTCTTAGTACCAGACTACCAGTTGATGTATCTATTTGCCTGAAAATGTTATGTTGTAAGCCTACCAGAGATAGCTGGTTCTGTTGACACAACTGATAATTATTGCAGACTGCACCGATTACTCCCAAGAAGATTGCACAGCCTGATCATATGCTTCACCATCAAGAGGAGGACTCCTGCTCTGTGACTTCTTCGTATCCTTCTTCTATCTAATAAAAATACACCGTGTTTCTATTTTTTTTGGGTTGTACTGTGATGATGTTTTCTGCCTTTATTTCTTGTGAAGATGTTTCTAAAATATTGCATGAGAAAATTCATTTCACATAATGATCAGATATTTGGTTTTCAATTCTAGAGTGATGACTGGAAAAAAAATCGATGTTAAAAATGATTAGTTCTGTTAACCTTAATTGGTTTTCAGTTGATTTGATATTATTCTTTGTAGTGAAAACATTGCCAAGGTGATGTTCTTTCTACTCATTGTTTGAAACTATTGTATACAATTTGGCCCCTTTTTTTTTCCTGAGCTGTGTAAAGAACCACAACTTCAACAAGAGCTGGCAAAACCAAGGCAACTGTTGGTGTTGCCCCTTCATTTGTATGTGCTGATCGTGCTGACAAGAGAAAGGAGGTGAATATGTAGTTTGATTGCATTATTTCAAGATGGCCTCTTAAATGTGTTTGTTATTTACAAATAGCGATGGCATTTTCTTTTCTCTAAAAATAGCTGGTGCTCATAGTGATTGCTGTTTCTTCAGTTCTACACAAAATTAGAAGAGAAACACAAGGCCTTGGAAGCTGAGAAGAATGAGGCCGAGGCCCGGAAAAAGGTATGAATTTCCTTGTGGGGGAGAATTGAATTGTAGGATACTTAAGTTTTGTTTGGTCTGTGCTATTTTACTGGGTCTGTTAAACATGGTTTTAATTCGGTAATAGCTAAATTTACTCTACGCTTCTGTGATTCTCCTTAATTAATGCTTATGAAATATTTGTCTCAACATTCTTCGCCCAGATTCAGCCATTATCTCTTTTTTTTTCATATAATATATTTTGGTTCTTAGATATATCATGGAGAGAGGAGTAATACAACGCCTAAGATTTATGTGCTAGGCAGAACATTTGAATATGATACTTTTTGTTGCCCAAATCTTTCTATAAGATGTTCATGTTGATGGACAACTCCTGGCAACTATTTATTTACCAATTTACCTCAACATTCATGTTCATTTTTTTTTGTGTAGGAAGAGCAAGAAACAGCCTTAAAACAACTAAGAAAGTCCTTAGTCATCAGGGCAAAGCCCATGCCAAGCTTCTACCAAGAAGGACCTCCTCCAAAGGCTGAACTTAAGAAGGTAGTTCTGAATTTCTGATGTTTTGTGTTTCTTTTGGAAACATGTACTTGTGATTGTCAGTCTTGGCAATGTGGAGATATATTGCTAACTTCTAGGAGGAGATTGTTGGTTCACTGGAATGAGAGGAGTCCTTAATTTACTTATTTTCACTGAACAACATATTTGCCATTTTGCCCAAAATGCCAAAACTAGTTAGATGTACAGTGATAACACAAGAAAGCTACATTTGAGAAAGCTTTTCCTTCTTTACAAGGAATATATACAAATCTATATTATTTCTTGCATCATGTATCTTAAGCACAGTTTTAATTTCCATAATTGATGATTCTACTGGTGGGCAATATGACATTCACTTGTCTTTGTTCTTTGAAGGTCCCTCCAACTCGTGCTAAATCACCAAAGTTTACAAGGAGGAGGAGCTGCAGTGATGCACCGCCGACGCCAGAGGCAGCAAATACCACCGCAGCATCTAGTCGATCACATCGTCACAGCATTGCGAACCCTAAAGATGCTAACAGAGTACAATGCTCACCAAAAAATGGCGTCGCTGCCAAAACTAGAGCTGTCAAACCTGTGAGCTGAAGGCCCTCTGGAGATTCTAGATCAGCCAAGTGTTGCGAATGTCGCTGTACAAACCTAACTTTAGCCGTCTCTCGGTTTCATGGCATTTTGCATTTGATTTATACTTCCTGTCACCAAAAGAAGGCCACAGTGCCGAGGCCGGTGTGCTTGCAGCTGAACCCTTTCATTTCTTTTCTTCTTTTCGCGTTGCTGTGTAAGAACTCTGTTGCTGGGACCATGTACTGTGTTCCTTGTTGTAAATGGTCGAGGGTTTCTGTCAGAACTCAGAAGGAAGACACTCTGCCCTTTTAAAGCCCTTGATGAACCGTTGCAATGTTTTGCTTGATATTTACCTGGGTTTGCAGATCCTCTAGCATTCTAGATCCCTGTCAAAATTCTATGCTCCCATCCTGTGAAGCGTTTGGTTCATGGTGTAATTATCATTTGCCCTAAATCAAATTTAACAAGGTGGGGGTCATTTCATTACACAGCTGACGGCTCATCGTCTGCAACATTTGAGAGATGAACGAATGAATTTTCTGAGTATTGCCGTATCGGATAGACAGATTTTACCATGAGGTGGAGTGATTTAATTTAATTTAACCAATAGCTAGTCGTTATTGGCATCATTTTTGATGAAAATTTTATGACAATTTTCTTGTCTAGATAATGCTCAGGAGTCGCTGACACATCGATCGGAGGCCGCTTAAGAGGATAATCTAATCTGACGAAGTTATAATAACCAAATCGGGCCCACGCGCCAGCGTCAAGAGTGCAAAGTTTTACCTGTGTTGGGTCCGGCCGGTGTGCTGGACATTTCAGCCACTACTGTCACCAAACCTGGCTACTGGGGTACTTAACTGTCCATGATCACCATATTTTTCCCCCAAAGAATATAATCATGCCAACTTTAGCTCTCCTTGCAAAATGTAAATCTACCGACATGTTTCATTTTAAATTTGATCGTTACCTGTTTGAACTGCATGAATTTTCAGTTGAAATGGACCAATATCAATATTTCCAGGGTTGATATTGTTAAAGGGGAGATGAAGTATAACTGACGCAAGGCATACATTGTTTGCAGCTAAACAGCCTTTTCTGCTTGCTATTTAATTCATAAAACAAAGGAAATGATAAAGAAAATAAAACTAGATGCGAAATATGACCTCTTTTTAGTTGGAAACTGTGAAAGCTATCTGTTTCAGATTGAAAAGAAAAGATCAACATTAACATGTCTCTTCTTTTATTCCCTTCAATCTTCTGTTCTCTTCCAGCCTGTAATGACGAGTTCTGAGAGGCTCCCCATCTCGAATTCATGCTCCATTTGACAACTCTTTCTATGCCCTTTTTATTTTTTTTTTGATAAAGAATGTAGTTATTGATGCAAAGTAAATTTCTTATTTTATGATTTGTCTATTGGTACCTTTGGTAGTTGACGAGTAGTGCTGCAAGGACAAGGAAAAGGGGAGATCTGAGGAGCAGTTTCTTCTTTCCTCATTCCTCTCTCCTACCCTAGAACAAGAAATGATCCTTGATCCCTTCTAAAATTCAGACGCAGGTATGCTAGATGAGTCATTTTATTTCTCTTCCTTTAGTCACCGAGGCAATTGGAGAATTCTTGTTTAGTTTGATTTGCTTTACATTTCCGACTAGATTTTGTTCTGTGAACATGGGAGGCTTGGGCTATGCAATGGGTTCCTCATGTGGGTTTTTTGTGCTAATTTTTGTAGATGATTTTGAAAGTTAAAATTGTCCGCATTCTTGCTATCTTGCCTGCTTACTGGAAGTTGGTCATAATTCGTCCGTAATTTTGGACCGTTCAGAGTTGTAAGTTGTGGAAATAGTACAAGATAATTTACTGAAATTTTACTTTGGGAAATTTGATATTGAGGAAATTCTCTTGTTCTGCTGCACAGCTGCAACCCTAATTCTTGCTAAAACCCTTGACCCTGATTCTCTCTACAAAATGGTAGTTTACTGGGATATATCAATCTTTAGCCGAACTTTTTAGTGATATAACCTCATACTTTGCTGCTCTCATGCAAAATATTATCTTTCAGGAAATATAAATTCAGTGACAAATTTTCATCCAAAATTGACATTAATGGCTCCAAGAACTAGTACTGTTATAACCTGGAGATATCAGCAGCTCTTTGTTGTACTATCTTCAGTAATCCTGGAATGGGTTTTGATGCTTCTTCTGCTTTTTGAGGGGCTACTATCCTATCTCGTTACGACATTCGCAAGCCTTTGCAAGCTCCACCCTCCATGCCCAATGTGCACAAGGCTAGATCATGTCTTTGGCATGGCGCAACCAGGCTTCTACCGTGACCTTATGTGCAATTCTCACAAGGCAGAAGCATCATCATGGGCATTCTGCCACATTCACCAAAAGCTTGTAGATGTCCACAGCATGTGTGAGTCCTGCCTTCTTTCATTTGCCACCAACAAGAAGTCGAACCTTGCGACATACCGGTCCCTGGCGGGGAAGCTCGGTGTCGGCATCGGCAATGAAGGTTTCAGGCCTAGCTTCAGTTTGGACAATTCATCTGAAGCATCAGTTATCAAGGAAGATATTACTAATATTTTGTGTTCATGTTGCTCAAGCCCATTGAAAGTGAAATCATATCCTTCTATGGTTCTTCAGAACATAGCTAGTGCCATTGACACTGAGGTGAATACTAGACATGTCTCAAGAGATCAGCTTATTGAGGAGATCAGTCTTGTCAGGTATAGTGAGCTGAAGACTTCTGACTCTGAATCAGAGCCCTGGCAACATGGTGGTGTTGCTAGCTTGCTGGATGATGCAGTTGATAATTTGAAGGAAGATTTTACTTTGAGCCATCCAAAAACAAAATTTGCAGGTGTTATTCCTACAGATGACATTGCACAGGATCAAGTGGCTAAGAACTCTGACTTGATACAACTCCAGAATGGTGGTTCTGACAGTAAGAATTCTCAAGTTTCAGCAGAGTTGTACCACTTCAGAGCTGATGGCAATGCAGATCTTCAGTCAACTGACTTTTCCAGCAAAACTGTTCAGCATCCTACCGAAGATTCAGACACAACAGGTTTGCACTATCCTCTCCAAATGTTAAAAAAAAAAACATTGTTGGATTAACTATTCACTTGCTTAGAGTATTGACACTGGTTTTTCTTTTCTTAAGTAGATAAATCTGAAGATGATGTTTGGCACAATGCTCTTGATTCCATCAGTGAATTATCAGTGACTGATAAGCCTGCCGAAACCAGTACCGCGGAGAATGAACCGAAAGCTGAATTTACCGATAGAACTGCAATGAAGGATTCTTTCAAAGCTCATGAAGATCTGCAGTTACTGTTGTCACAAGTTTCTCCAAATGATGCCATCAATATCCCTGGTGTACAAGAGCAAGCCATACTGAACAATATCACTAGAGCACTCTCTCTTGACAGGAATTATTCAGGTAGTATTTCTGAGAGCATGGCCATTGATGAAGCTGAAGAACATTGTACAGTTGATCAACTGAAGAAGCAAATCGAATTGGACCGGAAGTCGATAAGTCTTCTCTGGAAAGAGCTAGAAGAAGAGAGGAATGCTTCAGCCATTGCCACAAACCAAACCATGTCCATGATCACCAGGCTACAAGAAGAGAAAGCAGCAATGCAGATGGAAACCTTGCAGTATCAGAGGATGATGGAAGAGCAAAGCCAGTACGACCGTGAGGATCTTCAGAAGATGGCTGCCATGGTGCAAGAGCTCGAAGCCGAGATCGAAGGCTACAAGACCAAGCTGAGAGACCAATCGCTCGTTAACGAGATACGCGACGCGATGCGCATTTCACGTTCAGAGGAATGTGAGACTAGCATGTCAAGAACAGCTCGATCGCTCTCATTGTTCGAAGACGAGAAGGCGTATATATCAAAACACCTGAAGAAACTAAGACAGAATCTCCACCAATTCTCAAACAACGGCAAGTTCATCGACCCGAAAAAGATTGACGACAAAGAAGACACATTTGATGTCACAAACAGTGAGGATGTATACCAAGATGCTGATGAAGATTCAGAAATGACCAATTCAGAGAATTCAGAGATGACCAATGTGATAAGAAATGGTCGCAACTTCAGGTACTTATCTAATGGTACAGAGGGATTGACAAATGGTAAAGATGATCCTGAGGGTCAGTACTATGCAATGGTCAGTGAGAATGACTTGGTTAATTTTGAAGATGAGATCTCTGAACTCACTGCAAAGCTGAAGGCACTGGAAGAAGATCGTAGCTTCCTAGAGCACAGCATAAACTCGCTGAGAAATGGCCAAGAAGGCAAGGAGCTGATCCATGGCATCGCTTGCAGCCTCAGAGAGCTCCGGAAGATGGGGATCACTTGGAAGGATTGTGATTAGCTGAAGCTTCATCAGAGGATACACGTTTGACAGAGGTAATGCAGATTCAGTTAGGTAGAAGTTCACAAGTACTGATCTATATAAATTCATGGCACATTATACAATGATTGTTCCTTAATTGATTTCTTTATCTCTCTCATGATTGACATGGATCACTTATCATCTCAATGGCCTCTTATTATTTATCTGTTAGCTTATCAGTCGCACAGACAAAATTTAAAATTTCAAACTTAATTTATTTACAGTTGATTTTCGAGTCTTTCGTCGTAGTCTATTTTTCACCTCTGACTTTTAAACAACTAACATCATGAATATAGAAGTTTTACACATAAATTATTTTTAGTTGATTCTTCTTTTTTTTACAATTTATCAGCTGTAGCTTGACCGATCACTTATCATCTCTAATTGACAGTTGACCACGTGGCTGCAGGATGTAAACTGTAAAGAGTGATGGATTAAGCTGCTGACTGTATATGTGCTAATGTGCATGTGCACACGGCGGTTGCTGTCATGTCATGCGGTGGTGGTAGGTTTTGGGCCGTTGCAAGTGCGCCGTGCTCTTCGCGTGGAGTGTTCCTTGTACAAATGCAGTGTGGATTTTTTGAGTGCTCAGAATTGACCAATATGCATACACACCTTTTCTCAGTGCTTGCTTAATTTGCAGTTTTGCACATCTTTCATGTATTTCTTTTTATACTTTTAAGTGGGATTGTCAGCTTGTCTGTATATATTGTCAAACAATCCAGCATTTCATCTCGACAAGTCGACGACAGGTTGAGTCAATCAGGCCAAAATGTCAAAGAATCGACTGCAAAAATTTGCTCATGCATTGCATCGTTAAACCTTTTTCTTTTGTGATTGTACCGATGACGCATACGCACACACACCACTAACACACGCTCAAAGAGACGGAGGCGAAGACATTATACATGCCAGTTGTTTCCTGGGTCCTGTTTTTATTTTTCTTTCTTGGGGCTTTTTGCCCTTCGACAGTATAATGTTGTTTTGAAACCGACTCGATTTGGTTGGCTTTCTTTTCTCGTTCTTGGTTGGATGAGGTGCTTCCCTGGCTGCTGCGACATTGTAATGTCGTTGTAACATTTTTACCGTATTTTTTCCTCTAAATTTTATTGAAATTGGTCGGCCAACCTTTGGTTGGCCCGGTAGAAAAAAAACGACTCGACTTTCTCTCTTAATACAATTCGGTTGGTCGATTTTCGGCTGACCGGGCATACCATCTTGTCGAAACTTAATTTTGGCATGCAGCTAAGGTAGCCGGCTAGCCGCACCGGTCGGTTTCAGCGCGTGTGACACGCAGATTCAGGCTACAGATCGAAGAGCTCTGAAGTCTCTGAATCTGACACTCACGCTGACCAGATTAACCGAAAGAGAGCAATGTGTTAGGCGAGTTGCATGATCCAATCGATCGATCCAATTCTACCTGATAAACAAGCGGCCACGCGTACGTAACGTACATCTCTCTTTCTCTCAGGTGGACTCCAAATCTATCTCCAATTGGCCTAGCTTCCAAAGTGCGTGCATAGCTTACCGTTTCTCTGAAAACTCTTGCCGACAACGTCTTCTCTTCCAGCTTCAATCCCACTGACAATCACACACACGACAATGCACGCACGCGCACAACGATGAGAGAGAAATTAGAGAGATGGATAGAGAGAGAGAGAGAGAGAGATTGACACGTGAGAAAAGGAAAGGAATGAGAATTCACCACGCATTACATTAGTTTCCTTGCTGTTTCTTCTCGCTCTGAAGAAGAAGAAGAAGATTTGCTGAATTAGTCGCATCCTGTGGAGTGTTCGTCCAGCATCCAAGGGAATGATCGGCTGCTAGCGATAGTCAAACCACGATCCAATTACGTCTCTCTCATTTCCAAATGAGGCACGCTCGATCGTGCATTCATGTGCCCGTACACCTGCGTGCGTGTATATATATACACGCACAAGAACTGAAGAACACAACAAAAAAGGCACTGCAAATCTTGTTCAGATAACAGCAAGTATATATTCAGATTGTTCATAGTTCATTTATTGTTCATAATTCAGATAACAGCAAGTATATATATACAGATACAGATAGTTCATAGTCGATTGATCGATCGACCATGAGGCATGTTACTTTCTTCGCGGCGGTTCTTGTTGCCATCTTCCTCACCTCCGGTGGCGGGAGGATGAGCAGCACGGCGGCGCGGCCGACGGCGGTGGGCGGCGCCGGCGCGCCGCCGGCCGCCGTGGCGGTGGAGCTGGCCGGCACCGGCACCGGCACCAACGCGTCGTCGCAGCCGTCGAACTGCACCTACGGCAACAACGTCGGCGGCCAGTGCCCTCCCACTCCCGGCGCTGGCCATTAGCAAGAGCAGTGCACGTCGCTGCCATCAAATCGTGCAGCTGAGCTGCGTAATTACGATTAGATATTGTATTAATCTTGTGAATTTTTTTTTCATCCGATCATGTAGTATTAATCTTTCCTGTAGCTTGAAGGTGATTGCATGATCAATTGAGTCTGTAATTCTGTTGGTTTGGTTGTATTTTTTTTTAACTTTTTTAGGTAAAAAGTCGGGTGAATTGATCACCTGTTTAATATACTGTAATTATCTGTTGCATGGTTAAACAGCAGTAATTGCTTCGTGCAAGTTCATTTCGCCGGTTTGGATTAAATGATTAATTACTTCGACCAAGATCAATTCGCTTTAAATGATTAATTAGATCAAAGATCAAGATATCACGATTCACAAGGCCGAGCCCATGGAGAGATTCAGCTGGGCCATGGGCTTTTTTGGTCCATATGGTGACAGCTTTTGCGTCCCTTAATTTGCAGCTCGCTCTGTCGAATAATTTCAACGTAGTTGTCTGTTACTCTGCTAGTCTGCTTAACTGCAGTATCAGTTTACTTTACTACTTGTCGTTTATACTATAATTTTGCTAATTACAGTGTCACCTTATCTTGTTTGGTAACAATTCGTCAGTCAAGAATGGCAAGTACTCCTATTTGTGAACGGACTGAGTCATAGGAAATGAAGCAGACTATCTTTTTTTTAACAGATTCATCAGGTTTCAGTCGTGAGAATCTGTCAGCTAGTTTCTGTTGTGAAATATGAAATGTAGAGGACACATATATAGTATTTCTTTTCTTGTACTGCTCATTGCGTACATGTGCAGCTAACAACTCAGCCGTTCAGAGGAGAGGATGGATAAACAATTCGTGCATATATACCCAACAAACCATTGCTTTACTAAAGCTTAATTATAAACATTAAGCATTAGTTGCGAACCTGTTTTGATCATAGCAATCATTTGCGTTTTGATCATAGCAATCATTTGCTCGAACAGAAGTAGTTAGAGCATCTCTAACAGGCTCTCCAAATCTGACTCTCCAAATATTTATTTGGCCATCTCTCCATCTAATTTGACAACTCAAACTCTTTTTTACTCCAACAGCCTCCCCATCTATCATCTCCATTACAAGTTTATGACAAATGGGACCCATATGTCAGCCTCAACTACCCTTCTTCCATACTGATTCTTTTTCCCCACCTATACTACATTTCCTTTCTTCCTTCCGTACTACTGCCCCTTCCCCGCACCCTCTACCTCGGTGCGGCGACGGCGACGGCGACGGCGACGACGACTTGCGTGCGCGCAAGGCGCGGGCGGGCGAGGCGACGGCGACTCGCGTGCGCGTGAGGCGATGGCGAACGGCAGCGACGCCTCGTGGGAGCCCAAGGCGACGGCGGGCACGTGAGGCGGGCCCGCGAACAACAGCGAACGTCGAGCGGAGATGGCACCGAGCCGGCGGGATGCATCACGCGGATCCGCTCCTCACCGGCCTCCCTTGCCGTCGGGCCCTCTCCCCCGCAAACGATGGCGATGGTGGCGGCGGCAAATGGCAACGACGACGGCGGCCCCGGGAGGCATAGGCAGAGGCAGCGGAGGCCGCCGCTGCCCCAGAATCCACCCCGCCAGCAAAATATGCACGAGGTAGGAGGCCGCGCGGCGGAGGTCGCCCCCTCCTCCCGAATCCACGCCGTGCTGCCCGAATCCCCCCTCCCCCCGAGTCGAGGTCGGGTGGAACCGGAGGCCTCCAGACGACGGCAATGGATGGCGACGGTGCAGACGACGGCGGCGGCGGCTGGCGATGGAGACCTTGGCAGCAATGGAAGATGGTGTCCTCGATGACGATGGTGGCGTCGGTGCTTCTCACACTGACTAGGGGCATGGGAACAGAGAAAAGGGCAAATGAGTGTCTGACAGCATGGGGCCCACGGTTGGTAACCTGGTTTGGCCAGCCGTGGAGGATGGCCAAATTTGGCTAGTTGGGAAGCCAGCTTGGCCAGCCAAATGGCTTGCCATTCGTTTAGCAAGGCTGTTGGAGTGTATATTTTCATCAAAATAGCTAAATTTTAGCTTGGAGAGTCTATTAGAGAGTCTGTTGGAGATGCTCTTACTACTTACTACTGGCTAGTACTCCGTATTACATATGCCAAGAGAGAATCGTTCATCAGCAGGCGAGGAAACACAATGCATGAAGAGTGTTTGTGCTTGTGAACTATATGCTTTTTTTTCGGGAATACGCAAAAGGTTTGCGCACTTTTTATATTAAGAGAAATGAAATTTATACAAATGGCAAACAAAGAAGAGAGATAGGGAAAAAAGGGGGAAAGGGAAAAAAAGACTTAAGCCTACTCTCGCTAATACAATGTGACGACTGAACGACCAAACACGCTAACTAGGGAGCACTGGTGACAGGGGATTGGACTATAAGCTTTGATGAGTTAGTTTTTGTTTGAGATGTTGTTTGTTTTTAATTCGACTAGAGCCATGTGAGAATACTCTACCTCCAAGAGAACACGAGATTTTGTTTCCATGCATGCATGGACACCATTAACATCCACACAACAGCTTATTACATAATTCAATCATATTAAGTTAGACACGGGAGCGAAGAAGAATTACGCATTCGATTGATTCGAATCACTAGTTGTTCATGGAATCAGAAAACAAGACCGACGAACAGCTGAACATCGATCATGCATGTTTCTTGCAGAATATTACAAGAATGCAAGAGCACATGAATCAATCAAATATCCCGAAACTGATCGAAACTACTCGAATTGATCACAAAATCAACTCGATCGCACAAAGAATTTGATCCGCTACGTACTACTACAAACTAATCTTGCTCTTCTTGCGATTTTCGCGGCTGCGCTACGCCGCGCGCTCGACGCCGTAGAGGATGAAGCCCGCGCCGTCGAACGCCACCCTGGCCGCCGCCGCCGCCTGCTGCTTCGTGCTCGCGCACGGCGACGCGGCCGCGCCGGTAGACGAGCCGGCATTGTCGGCGCCGAACGAGGAGGAGCGAGAAGACGAGGCGGTGGCAGCGGAGGCGCTCCTCTTGTCGCCGGACGCGGCGGTCGTCGCCGTCGCCGTCGGCGGGGGCTTGTAGTACATGCGCGCCGTCTGGGGGCAGTGCGAGTAGGCCCTGACGGCGACCCTCGCGGTCATGCCCAGCAGGTCCCCGTACGCCGCGTACTTCCCCATCGCCATGGATGGAGCTCGACGCGATCCTCCTCCTCCTCCTCCGGCAAGAACAAGAACAAAGAACCAGAGCAAGATCGGCTCCAAGAACCGCGGACAAGCGGATGATCCCCTCTCTCTCTCTCTCTCTCTCTCTCTCTCTCGCGATCAAGCTAGCGATCGAATTGGAAGGATTCCTGTGTCGCGAGCTCGGATTCTCCTCCTTGGCAATGGATGTGTAGGGTTTGGGGGATCGGTGTATTTGTAGCCGGTGGGGAGTTCGATTCGGAGTCCGATTCGGACAAGGATGATCTTGCTCTTACCAGCCGCGGCGCGTGGACGCCACGGGAATTTTCCCGGGTGTCATGGGCAAAAATCTGGGAATAATGTCCGATTCGAGGCCCATTATCCAGCTCGGCCCACGAAGACACGAGGCCCATTCGATCTCTCGTCTTCCCCCTACAAGGCCCACCAAAGTCCATCAAAGTCCACGCCTCGCTCGGCTTGGGCTCGCTATCGCGTTGAGTCGAGTCTGAGCCACCGCCGGAGGAGAGGAGGGGGGCCGAGCGGCGGAGGCGCGCAAGGGTTTGGGAGCCGCCGCCGGCGACCTTGGCCGGAGCGCAAAAGACTGAGGAGGCGTGGTCGGGGCTTGCCTGCTGCCGGCGGCCGGCGACCGGCGACCAACGGCCAGGACAGGTCTAAAATTTTACTGCCTCACTTGAATATTTCGATTACTGAATCTGCAGAGAGGAAGCGTATTATTCCCTCTTTTTAGCTGGATCGAGTGGGTTAAAGCAATTACGATAGTAAAAAAGAGAGGAGGGTTAGGATGCAGTTTTTAGGGGATCGAATACACTGTGGAACAGAATGCTGCATTTTGCTCTATCTGTTTATTACTAGTACTTGTTGAAGGATGGAATTGTAGGTTTTCCCCTTTATAAATTGGATAGAGGACTTATGCGGATTACCATATGTTGAATTATTGTGCAAGATTTTTTTTGTTAATTGTTCAAAACCATTGAAATATTGGGTGCCTCTAATAGTGGAGGATAGATCATTCTGTTACAGGCAGGTCTTCTGTAGGCTTAGGTTTGGGGGTCCTCTACTTTGTTCTGGGCTTGTGGCTGTGTAGTAATGCTAGTTGCTAGGTGCCTGACCATATGCTTATCACCTTAGAAGAAAAGCTGCTTCAATTCTAAATTCTAACAAGGTAATTAGTGGTAAATCATACTTATTCCATTCAAAGGGCTGTGACCTTTTGAAGTCACTCGGTCTGAGATGAAAACCCAGAGAAATATTATGAATGAATCCTGACCTGTTCTGAGAACAACATCAGCCTTTGTTTTGGGATGTACTTAAGAGGAAAGCAAATTTTTGGCCTTTAGATTTAATTCTGTTCTATCATCTATCTGATGACAAATCAACTTAGTATGATTTTCTTTTATTTGCAGCTGTCCTCAAATCCATCCCTACATTCCACCAATGTATTTAAGCTGTTGACCACTTGCACTTGCACTTGCTCTCTGCCTAAAATTTGATGTATAGGCTTTATATAAGATGGTATATTGATAATAAACTACTGTTTACTAATCAACTACTAGGCTCCTAGCATGCTTTGATGTGTATTTGCCGGCACCCCTATCAACATGCTTGTGACACTTTTATTTAATGTTAACCCGTTTCTCTTTTCCAACAGCTTGTGCTTATACTGTCCTGATGGAAACCGACAGAAGCCAGCCTGCTCCAATTGACCCAAGAAGAGCTCGCTTTCCTTGTTGTATAGTATGGACACCATTACCGTTAATCTCATGGTTGATCCCCTTTATCGGTCACATTGGCATCTGCAGAGAAGATGGTGTAATTTTGGATTTTGCTGGGCCCAATTTTGTATCAGTTGATAACTTCGCGTTTGGAGCAGTTGCACGATATATTCAAGTAAACAGTGATGAGGTTAGTACTTAGTATTATGTGGTTAATATCACTCTCATTGCCGCCTCCTAGTGACACCTTATCAACATGTAATGTATAATTATTGAATACTTTAATCATGTATAGCACTCACCAAACATTAATCTCTTGTAATCTGCAGTGCTATAAGCTTCTTGAACCTGAAGGAGCATCAACATGGGATGACGCGCTGAGGAAAGGCGTGCAGGAGTTCCAGCACAGGGGCTACAGCCTGTTCACCTGCAACTGCCACTCCTTCGTCGTGAACAATCTGAACCGTCTGTTCTACTCCGGCCATGACAAATGGAATGTGGTCAGCCTCGCTGCTGTGATGTTCTTACGGGGTCGCTGGGTGAGCACAGCGTCGGTGGTGAAGACTTTTTTCCCATTTGCACTGGTGATCACCATCGGCACTCTCCTTGGCGGCGCGACATTCCTGATCGGCTTGCTTGCTTTCGCTGCGGTGATGACTGGCTGGTTCCTTGTGGGCACCTACTGCATCAAGAGCCTTGTAGAGTTGTAGCTGGAGTAGTATATTGGATTGTACTTGGTTTTGGGTCTCCTTGTGATCAAAGGGTGCATACTTCTAATTTTTATAGTTGCTTGTAAGGTTTATTTTTGACTGGAGAGATCTATGAACTGGAATATAATTTGTAGCTTGATGAACTGGTCATCGATCCAGACGGTTAATTCTTGACTGGAGAGACCTATGAACTGCAGTAGAATTTGTGGTTTGATGAACTGCTCATCAATCCAGATGGTTGCGGCATGAATTGCGTTTTGTTCCATGCTCAGGAAGTCAGTACGAAATGGTGTTTGTCTTCAATTGCATTAACTATGTTTACAAGTCTATTACCCATGCTCCTCTACAATGGAGTATATTTCGCAAGCAGCAGATCAAATTCTATACTGACTCGTCTTTTCGCTTATACTTATACTTATACTTATACTTATCAGCTAAAATTTTAATTTTCAACTTTAAAATTGGAGTTGATTTTAGGAATTTTTTTTATCGTAGTTTATTTTCTAGTCTTTGTTTTTATATCATTAGGAACACGTATATAAAAGTTTTATTCCCATATTATTTTTTATTTGCAAATATGCCGTTTCGCTTACATGCTTATAATCAGCCAAACAATGGCGCCCGTAGAATCGGAAACTTTTCAATGCTTCATTTGCAGGAAACACTTCAGTTCTAACCTATTTTCGTAGGGGACGGTTCAATTCCTGCAATATTTGGAAAAAAAATATCGAGCCATTTAAAACCATAACTATCAAATTATGCCTATCAAATCAACCTATGAACTCCCTTTTTGGCTTTTGCTTGAAGGGCCGCTTTATATTGGTGTTAGAACATGCCTGATTGTTTTGGTTTGAAGTCAAATCATTGACAGTATCGATGTTCAATTTGATGCTTTCTATGTTGTACTTGAAATTTAGCTCTAAATTGACCTTAAACCAAATACAACTCTATCCTACCAAGAACTCGATAATACCAAAACTTATCTAGATTTTAACACGGCCAACATTTTAGTAGGGTATTACAACAAAGCTGAAAATCCAGATATCCTCCACTGAGTCACAGTTCCACTCTCAGCCTGTCCTTATCCAAGAACCATCTAGAAGCTCTCGCGCCGACCGTAACAAATGGACGGCCAGGATGAACTCCACCCCAGCCGATCCAACGGCTGAGGACGCGCCAAGCCACCGATCCAGTGGGCTCCCGTCGCGGCGCGTCCGATCCGACCGGTGGCCGTGTTCGCGTCCGAGGAAACCAGAAAAGGAAGAGAGTGAAAGCAGGCGGAGGAGGAGAAAAAGGGAGGAGGAGGAGAGGAGCGCGTGAAGCATTTCGGCTCAAAGGGGAAATAAAAAGGGGAAGATTTTTTTTGCATCTCATCCTCTCGCTCTCGCCGTCTCTCGCCGCTCCCCCCCCTTTCCAGGCTCCAATCCCGCCGCCGCGTAGGATGGCCAAGACGCGGCAGCCGCAGAAGCGGGTGCTGGAGTCGTTCACCATCAAGGGGCCCGACGGGGTCATCAAGCGTGAGGACCCCTTTCTTGATCCTTTTATCTATTTATCTAGGTTTTTGTTGTTTTGGGGGAAATTTTGGTGCGTGTATAGGTTAGCTTGGCTTCGATTATAGATCTTAAATCTAGGTTTTTGGTGGTAGAATCTATACTTTCATCCAAAGGTACCAAATAGTGTTAGCGGAGTGGTAGCGGATTGATATCGGGGTAGCGGCGAGATTGCGGGCGGTATCGCGGACGCTACATTCCTATAGCGGTTTTGATATCGGTATAGCGGATTGATTGCGGGTGGTATCGCGGACGCTACATTCCTATAGCGGTATTAATATCGCTATAGTGGATAGATTGCGGGTGGTATCGCAGACGCTACATTCCTATAGAGGTATTGATATCGGTATAGCGGATAGATTGCGGGGGACATCATGGATGCTACATTCCTATATAGTGGTATTGATATTGGTATAGATGGAAGTTCTATCTCAAGTTTGAACCTATAAAATGTTAGATCTTCTTTAGTTTTAGGACAACCTGCAAAAAGAAGTCTATGTGCTGATTAGGACGGTAGCTCTGTGTACAGGGCCGGTTCTATATTTTCGAAGGTCCTAGGCAAACTCTGTGCTACGGGCCCTAAGGATTTTTTTACTTGTAACCATGTATTCTCTAAAATAACATGATTAATAATACGTAGTTGAAAATTGTAATTTGGTATTTTATTCTCGATAAATAGTGTTGATAGTATAATGGGCTTAGTTTTAAAAAACATAGTACAATAGACAACTAAAAGAAACCCGTGCAAAAACGAAGTAGTATAAATAGCTCAAATAGGATAAAATAAATAACAAAAAGAACAAAACAAAACCGAAACATAATTTTAGGAATAAATAGATGCAAATGAAAATTGAGAAGATCAGAAGAAGTGAAAACCTTATCCGAGTCACGATGAGACAATCGGGCAAGGCATGGGCCATGGGCGTCGGGCGTGAGAGCATCCGGCTGGCTGCTGCCACGATGTTGCCGGACTCTAGATCGTGAAGTCACGGTCGTGCTGTGGCGCCGTCACCTGTCGGCCATCGCGATCAGGAGAGAAAACGCTGAGGATCTAGAACGAAGTAATGAACCGACGCGTCACGGTTTCGCCCTTGATCGATGGTTTGGGCTCGATCCTCGATTGCGTGCGTGGCGTGCCTCCCTCCCTGCCAATCGACGTGGCAACGACATCACTGCAATTGGGCTAACCGGCTAACTAGGTCATCCTGGGATGCTGATGGACTATGATGGTGATGGGCCCTCTACCGGCCTGGGCCCTAGGCGGTCGCACAACCTGCCTAGGCCCAGAGCCTGCCTTGTCTGTGTATCACAAAGCTTAGATTTTTGTGTTTAACTATACTTGTTTACGTTATTGATTTGCGTGATCAGACACATTTCTTGATAACCTTGTTCTACCTATTTGCTTATGTAACATCTGATTGTATGGAAGAATTAAGTTGATGGAGGTAGTCTTGATTATGTATAAGCTTCCACGTAGCAATGGTGTACTCCTGGTTATAAATCCAAGTTTCTTGTTGGGTTAACCAAGTTAGCATTTTGGTTTGGAGTGAGATGAAGACTGAAGTTATTTATTTCCCTGCAAAATTTAAATTTTAAATACAAAAAAGTTCTTGCAAGTTAAAATTTATGGTGGAATTCAAGCAAGGTAATCAATATCGAGATGCTAGGTAGGATCGTTTTTTATTCGTAGTATCATAGTATTGGGATACTACCATACTATCAAGATACTATCAGATTTTAGAAAGTACATATTTTATATAAATATATAATATGTTGTATAAACTAAAGCATATAATATTGGTTTTGATAAATTTAATTGGTTTTTATGTAAACTTGAGCATATTTATTCACATTATTTTAAATAATATTTTGTAGGATCGTAGAATCAAGATACTACCTAAGATTTCGTAGCATCGTGGAAATGAATAGTAAGATCGAAATACTATGAAAATTAGGATACTGGTGGGATCGGTATCGTTTCGGCTTGGTAGGATCGTAGTATCTAAGATACTAGGATATGGATCGGAATACTGACAACCTTGCTGTGAAGTACCGACAGTTAATTCTGCAAAATCAACTCAGCATTCAACTTCATTCGATATTAAGCACACTCATCTTGGCTACTTGTTATCTTATATAACTATTGGTATTTTTTTTTGTCGAAAGGCACTTCTTGTACTTTTATGTAATTGCTTTGATTCAGTATGAACAGTTTCTAGTGTTGTCAGGAATGTTTTCCAATATTAGCAAATTAATGTAATTTGTGAGGTACAACAATTATTAGGAAATAATATTGGCATAGTCTTTTAGTGATTATGTTGTATGTCTGTTCCAGCTGGGGATACTGTGCTAATGATGGCACCTGACTCATCAAAGAAACCATATGTGGCAAGGGTTGAGGAAATTGAGGCAACAGGACCTCAAGCCTCTCAAGTGAAGATCAAGGTGCGGTGGTACTACCGCCCAGAAGAGTCCATTGGTGGCCGGCGGCCATTCCATGGTTCGAAGGAAGTATTTCTTTCTGACCACTATGATTCGCAGAGTGCTGACACCATAGAGGGCAAGTGTTATGTCCACACCTTTCGAGATTACACCAAGCTTCGATCTGTCAGCGCTGAGGACTTCTTTTGCCGCTTTGAGTACAAATCTGCCACAGGCAGCTTTGTGCCTGACCGTATAGCTGTGTAAGAATCCAAACCTTCAAATTCGTTAGACATGATTCCGTACTTATTACTACTAGTATATTCTAGCATCATTAGAAAGAACTATTGACACTCAGGATATTTCAGCAAACTGTTCATCTGTTGTGATCTTGTTGACTGCTATATGGTTTATGGCTTTCTTTAGAAAGTTAACATATGATTTTCTTCTGAATTTTTCCTAGCTTTGATAGTTTTCAGATTGTCTCCCTCTATCCAATGCTAATGTCTGGGATCTTTCTACCACCTTGTTGCTCTGATTACACCATTCACAATTTCTTGAAATATGTTGCCCTGTCGATTCTTATCCTAGCAGTCCCATTGGGGTCACAGTCTGTCTTGAAACCGTTATTTTCTGCAGTTCTGCTAGATTATTCAGTGCTGTTCATTAGCGCCTGTTTGAATTGGGAGAATGCAGTTACAAGATCTACCTATTCAGATTGCACATATCATATATTTGCTCTCACGTATTGGTAGGCAATCAATCGGCGTAGTGGTTGAAGGCTTGGGCATTTCTTTACCCTTTTAAATGAGTGAAGTTTTCAACCTGTAGTGACAAACTTGACATACCTCTCCTGTTTGCTAGTATGACACATGCTCAATTCTTCAATTGCAAAAATAATTTATTTGATCTGTTGTTGATTGACATAACAGGTTTTGCAAATGTGAGATGCCATACAATCCTGATAACCTTATGATCCAATGTGAGGATTGCTCTGACTGGTGAGATACAGCTGACGCATTCAACTAGTTTCTGTATTTTTGAATGTTACCAAACCTGAGAAAATCTTTACATTAACTGCAATCAGTAAAGCTAGGTGTATGTCTTGCTAGAAACCTGTTTCTTATTAGTAGTGAAGAAGCTAAGCTTCACATGTGCAAACCATATATTCTACAGAAAAACCTATAAGGATTTCTGCAGGCTAGAATAGCTCCACTAAAGTCAATACTTGTGGAACATTAGAAAAAAGAACAGTATTGCTCCTCACAAGTATAATGGTCCATTGTGGACAGTATGGCGCATGCTGTAATTCATTTATGGCTGTTTTATGTCAAGTATGTGTACGGACTACAGAAGTAATGGAACTCATAAAGTCAAAGTGAAATGAACAAAAGGAAAACTGAGGAACTATATCCAATATACACCTGAGAAACCTCTTGAGTTTACACTTAGCAATTTCATAGTATCTTGTTGAAGTTCTAAAATATTTTCCTGCAGGTTTCATCCTTCCTGTGTTGAAATAACCATCAAAGAAGCGAAGAAACTAGAGCATTTTTACTGTAAAAGCTGTATTGCTGAAAATGGAAAGGATCTACAAAAGTCCAATGGTGCTACTGTGCAATCTGAAGAAAAGGTAAACTGAGTAATCTGATGAAAACTTTGGCGCGTCACCAACAGTACTGATGAATATCTATAGTTCTGATCATCTAATTCTAATTGAAGTTGAACCAGAGGGCGCCTTACATATATGATGTATGTCAGGAGGTTGCAGTGAACATAACCCATGTCAGATGTTTAAAATTTGCACAAAATTGACAATGCCACTGAAGTGGATCAATTCATATCATACAATTTTACAAATGCAATCTTCCTCATTTCTGCCAATGTTTGCTCATCCATATGCTCCTGCTTGCATCAGGTGCAGTCCAAACGACGGCGGAGGTGATGCCATGGAGACAGAATCTCAATACCTCCAAAGTGGATGTAACAATTCTGTGGGGAGCAAAGCCTCATCACTCCTCTAGATCTTCTCTCTTCTCTTCCTGTGCAAGGCTGCTTGCAGCCAGTGACCAGTGTACTGTGTACATATTTACCAGTGTTTTCTTTTTGCATCGTTTGCATGGTCGTCGTAGCGTCGTCGCATGTACTAGCTTGGAGTCAGTCAGTCAGTTAGCTCGAGCAAAGGGATCAAACTCCCTCTTGGTCATAAACTCATAAGCGATGATGATAGATGAAACTGGGCACTACCTACCGTGGTTGTGTTGTTGTCCATCAATAATACCTTGACGACTTGCTACCTGCCTCTCTGTTCGTCGTCTCCATGTTCGTTCTTTTTTTTCCCTTTCTTTTTTACTTTGAGAGGTTCATCAGTTCATGTTCGTTCTGTTTCCTGGTTTTGATATTTGAAAAGTTGTATTTGAAAGAAAAAATTGACCCGAAAAAGGTCTCCAATGTTAGGTAAATGGGCGATTACCAGCTCTTCTTGCCCCTACTTTGATGTGTAATATTGATTTTGCCCCTGTTTTTTTAGGGTTTTCGTTTTTACCCCTACTTTTTTAAATGAATCAACCGTTTGCCCCTATTATGTTAATTCTTGTTAACGGTGTTAAAATGTGGGGGGTAAAAGGACAAATATACCCTTAGACATTTTTCCGTACTTTTGGCATAATCAAAATATAAATCTATTGATGCCATACTATAGCAGTAATTTAATTGTCCAAATTTGTGAAAGTGTGCCAAAATTTGGGTCAAATTTGAAAGTGGTACAAAAATACCGGAAAATATCTAAGGGTATACTTGTCTTTTTACCTCACATTTAACACTGCTAGCAAGATTATCGGAATAGGGGCAAACGTTTGTTTTGTTTAAAAAAATAGGGGCAAAAACGAAAACCCTAAAAAACATAGGCAAAATCAATATTGAACATTGAAATAGGGGCAAAAACGAAATTGCCTCAAAATTCTAGGGATACACGAAGGCCAAAAATTCTAAATTTACATTAGATATCTGTTTTGAATGGCGATTAAGGTCCTGTTCTTTTCTCCGATGAAGATTTAGATTTTCGTGGCACGCTTTTTAAACTGCTAAACGGTGCGTTTCGTGCGAAAACTTTCTATATGAAAATTGCTCTAAAATATCATATTAATCTATTTTTCAAGTTTGTAATAATGAAAACTCAATCAATCATACGTGAATACCACCTCATTTTATGTAAAAAAACTTAATCTTAATCTTCAGGAGAAAAGATTACCACCTAAGGGATGCGGTTCGATCAAGATTCAAGAGCAAGACATGAAATGAGGAAGCCGATATAGACTTACCCCAAACACAAATTGCGCGCTCCACGGCCTATATTCGGCCCAACCTGCTGCCGGGCCCGCCGCTCTCTTCATGCTGGGCCGAGCCGACAGGCCAACTCCACGGCCCATTAGGCCGACGTCCTCCTCGCAGCCACGCGCTACGCCTCCGCGGCTTATCGTCTCCTCCACCGGGCACACCGCCGCGCCACCGCCAGTGAGCCAGCGACGCCACCGCGCCGCGCGCCATGCCGCTCCTCCTCCACCCGCGCTTCCCCTCCTCCCACGCCGCGGCCTGCGCCCACCGCGCCGCCGCCGCCCACCGCGACGCGCGGCCCGCGCTTCGCCTCCCCGAGCTACACGCGACGAGGCGGAGGCGGAACAACGTCGCGTGCCGCGCGACCAGGGCCAGGGAGGCGCCGCCGCAGCAGCAGAATACGGCGGCGGCGCTGTCCAAGGAGGCGCACAAGTACTTCGACCACGCCGTGGTCACCGTCCGCGCGGGCGACGGCGGCCACGGCGCCGTCCTCGCCATGCCGGCCTCCCCCTCGACGGACGCCCCCAAATCCCCCCGCCGCAGGTCGGACAAGGGCAAGAGGAGCGGCGTGAAGAAGGTGTCGTACAAGAGGAACTACGACGGGTCGGTGGCGCTGCCGATGGGCGGCCACGGCGGCGATGTGGTGGTGTACGCCGACGAGGCGGAGGAGACGCTGCTCCGGTTCCACGAGAAGGCCCGATACTGCGCCAAGAGGGGAGGCAACGTGGGCGCCACCGGAACCCTGAGCTCGCGGATGCACAATGGCTTCGCCGGGGAGACGCTCAGGATACCCGTGCCTGTAGGTTTGTAGATTTTGGTGGTGTTGGAAATGCATAGCATTTTGCTCTGTGATGGTAAAGTCTTCTTCGGTTAATATCTGCCGCATCGAATTTGCAGGTACTGTTGTGAAGCGCAAGAAAGGCGCTGTTCTTGCTGATTTGGCTCATCCCGGTGATGAAGTTATTGTTGCTAGGGGTGGACAAGGCGGGGTGAGTTGCTAGTTGTTCACCATCGTTATGCTTATTCAAGAGGAGGGCTGAATTCGTAGTTCAAATTCCCAAATTTTTTGCTGTGCTTAGCGAACATTTCTATCGATTGATGTCTTTAATCTTTTGAGTTGCGTTTATAATTTGGAGATGGCACAAGTCAGAACCATGCTAAGATCTTTCAATGGTGCTTAATAAGCTTTCGCTACCATGCTAAGATTTTTCAATGTTTATTTCTACACAAAGGTGTAAACTGGGCGGTAGCCATCCCATATGAACATTTTGAGATGTACTAGTTTCAATTCTAGTAAACTCCCCACAAAAAAAAAAATCTAGTAAACTGCCAAAACATCTGCTGAATTCTATATCAAATATTATAACTTGATTTTTGCCAGTCGTTAATAAATATAGTTGGTACTTGACAGAACTGTATCTGACCTCGAGCAGTTCTTTAGAAACTTCATTGTTCTATTAGGGCAGTTAACTGAAGCATGGTAATCATGATGATTCATTGGCGTACATAACTTAGTTGACTGATCTTATAAATTGTTACTTCCTACAACTAAAGTACACCTACTACTTTTACAAATATTTATGCACTGAATGATACTGTCATGACTTTACAGTCGGGCTTTATTTTTGCAGATAAGCTTGATCGATGTGCCTGAGTACAGAAGGAGGAAAGCCATGGTTTTATCACCTAATATCATGCGTGATGTTAGTGACAGGGTAATTTGTTACCTTATGATACACCGGGATTTGAATTGATGGTAGCTTTAATGTTGTTTCACCGATAGCCTGTTTTAGTTGGATCGTTAAAGTTTTTGTGAAGGATTAGCTGGAGCAAATAGTTTCATGTTTCTGTTAATGTAGTTTCCACATAGATACTTGTATAATGGGTCTATCAGAGAAAATAGTGCAATTTGCAAGCTAGTTGACTTGATTGTGTTCAGTTTCTTGGCTCCTTGCACACTGCAGCTACTTGCATTCTTGATTCTTGCGATGGCATTAAGCTATGTTCAAGTTTGTCAAAACTTCCACGACATATACTAGTGAATGAATGATAGTGAGAAGACATTAATAGATTCTCAAGCACTAACGCCAACAATCATGTGCAGATTATTTAACAGTACTGAACTGCTGGTATCCATCGCTCTGTGATTGTATCAGCATGATGGTTTTTGATAATCCAAAGGATTTCAAACGATTACATGCATTTGAATTCCATAGCTTTCATTTTCTTTTTTCATCATATTTTTTATTCGCTCTGTCCTTTTCTTGTTGTGTAGGTGTTAATTCATGGTCAGCCTGGTGAGGAAGTAAGCTTGGAGTTAATCTTAAGGGTGGTTGCAGACGTTGGTCTTGTGGTATGTGTGTCTCTATTCTATATTTCTCATGGTTTTGGTCTTGCTTCACAGTTTTGGGAACAAGAAAGTGTTCAGATCATTCCTAGTAGTTTATATATCGTACACAAGAATCTTGCTCAAAATAATGTACCATACATAAGAAAATTTCAAGATATTGGAAGAATTTGGTTTGGAAAGGTCTACGTTGTGATTATCATACATGGGTTTAGATGCTTTACATTCCTTTTTTTAGGCTTTATTTATGCTATTTCATTGCAGTCGCCATTGTTTGCATGATGTCTTACATGCATTTTCAGGGACTTCCAAATGCTGGAAAGTCAACACTTCTATCAGCAATAACACTTGCAAGACCAGACATTGCTGATTATCCATTCACTACATTAATGCCAAATCTTGGTCGTCTTGGTGGAGATCCTGCTCTAGGGGCGTTGCAGTTTTCCTCAGAGGCAACATTGGCAGACTTGCCAGGTCTCATTGAGGGTGCTCATCTGGGCAAGGTGCTCTTTTACTTTTATGCACTTTGCTTATTTCATACAAAATGTTTCTTTGCAATAGCCATGTTGCTTCCCCTCATTATTTTCTTTGGCATCATCACTTGACTTAATATTACATTGCAGGGTCTTGGTCGCAATTTCTTGAGACATTTAAGGAGAACTAGAGTAATCGTCCATGTTGTTGATGCTGCTGCTGATGACCCTGTGGATGATTATAAGATTGTTAGAGAAGTAAGAAGTTCCTTCATTCATAATAGCTCTTTTGTTTTTTTTTTTTTTGAACAGTCGTGCACACTATGCCAGAGAAGTTTGATAGTCCTTTATATTAGTTGGGTAGAATCTTATCAGCCATTTGTATATGGGTAGTTAGTCAGTATAATTGAATATTTGTCTATGTTTTGTTTCTCAAGTCAAGATGTGTGTTGAATGGTGAATGTCTATTTACAGGAACTCAGGATGTATAACCCCCAATATCTGGAGAGACCTTACGTTGTGGTTCTGAATAAGATTGATCTTCCTAAGGTATTGTACCTTAAGCCTGTGGTTTTCTATTTCTACTATAATCCCTTGATGAAAATTTTGCCTCTTGGCATGCTCGGTTTTCATACTGTTTACGCTTTGCTTTTTATCCCACTTGTAGGCCCAAGACAGGCTATCTTCACTGGCTTTTGAGATATCCTCAATAGGCTGTGAAGAATGTGATGGTAACAATACAAGCGAAGACAGTTTAAACGGAAATACAGGCGAACATAATACCTCATCAGAGACTAAAGTTGAAGGTGGTGAAAAGGAACTTCGGGACTATCCAAGACCTCAAGCTGTTGTTGGTGCAAGTGTACTGTATGTCTCTTCAGTTGACCAAACTACATGCATGTTCTTTTTACTCGAAAACCGTTTTACATCCCTCACATGATCTTACTATCATTCCCTTTGAACTCACGGTCGTGGTTCTGCAGGAAGCACATCGGAATCGATGAGATGCTAAAGGAGATTAGGGCAGCCCTGAGAAAATGTTTTGATCACAGGTTACCTGAGCCATGAATGGAAGTCAGCCAGCATACCAGAGGCTAGTACGAAGACCATAGACAAGTTCTCAAGTAGCAGAGACAGATCGAGCTCGGCTCTTGCAAGGACAACAGGGTTCCCTTGGTTTGCAGCAATTTCGACGGTTGATGAAGCATGAAAATGACCATCAGAAAGTGTGATGATATGGGAGTTTATCAGTATGAGAAGATGCTATTCGTTAAAAAAAATTATTCGTTCAAAAATGTATGAGAAGATGGTACGAAATGCCAGTCAGCAGACGCGTGTGAATAGGAAAGGATAGTTCTGTGTGTTGTTAGACCCTTTTGTGTACGATCCAATTGGCACGTAATGAAGCAAGCAGCTTTGATGCATATACTCCATCGCCTTTTCTCTGCTTGAATCTGCTTCATACTCTCTGTTCTCTCATGTCTGAAGTCTGAACTTACTGCTGCCTACGGAGAATTCCGTTATCTGTTTGTTGGCTTATAAGCCGAAACCGAGCTTCGCCCCCACGCCCCGCGCTGGTGAACAACTGAACATGAGATTGGTTGAGAAGGTGGGGAGAATGAGGGGGAGGGAGGAAGAAGACAGGGGCAATTTGGTCCTATAATATTAAGAGAATACAATGAAGGGGTATGTAGTGGCATATCTTCAATATTTGTGAAATTATAATGGCATAATTACAAATAAGTGAATAGTAATATTATATTTTAAAACCATAAAATTTATAATTGCATGGATTCAATTAACCCAATACAATACGACTTCGTTTCCGACTAACACGAACGGCCACGTTATTCATAGCGATCGATCGATTGATCGAGGAGTTTGAGGGGGGAATAACGGGGAGGAGCATCGATCTCGATCGCCGGCGACCATGGCGGCGGCGCTTGTTCGCTCTTTGGCGAGCAGGAGTAGGATCGGCACCCGGCGCTCTCACCCAGCTACAGCCTAAGCCGGCGGCCACCGTCATCTCGCCAAGGTTGCTTAGCCATGGCGGGCTCCTCCGCCGGGAAGCCCTGCCGCCGCCGCTCTCGCCGTATCGCTTCTTCTCTTCCGGCGGTTTCGAGTCACCTCGCACGGTATGCCTTCTTCTCGTTGATATATCTCCCAATTGATCGAGATAAGTCGATGCTTTATACGTTTGGATTATTTTCTGTTCCTCCAAAAAAATATAATGTGTCTACCAATCTGCGATTCTGAGCTTCTTCCCCCAAAATCAGATTCCTTGCTAATCATAAATAAAACTATGAACTTTTCTTAACTAATATGTGTGGTTGAATATGTTCAAGTCTTCTTCTCTACGACATACAATTCATTATAGTGCCCGTGCATAAGAC